TGCTGTAATTGCATTCGTTATATACATTGTCGCTGTTGCTGTCATTGTCGATGCCATCTTTGTTGCTATTGCTGCTGCCACTACTGGGATTTCCGTTACTATTTATATTGTTGCCGTAGTTGTCGTCATCAACGCTACGTTTGTAGAAAAAGTAACTGTCATTGTTGTTATTGTTATTGTTGTTGCCATTGTCATTTTCATTTTCATTATCTTGATCATAGAGTTGTATGTGATGTTGCTGTTGCTGTTGCTGCTGCTGGTGCTGTAGTTGTTGTAATCGTTGGTGTTCATAGTTATATTTGTTTATGTTGTTGCCAAGTTCGTTGTTAAAATATTCATATATCTGCCGCAGACGCCATAAATTGGCTAAATCATAGGGATCAGCATGTTCGTCATAGTGGTACTGCTCTTTAATTTGCTGTTCTTTTTCTGGTTGCTGTAATTGTAGTTGTTGTCGTTGTTGTTGCTGCTGCTGTTCTTGCTGCTGTTCCTGCTGTTGCAATGAAGACCCCCATTGTTCATTTAGCTGTTGCACATTATTACGGTTCTCTTGTTTTAGTTGTTGCAGTTGTTTCTGTTGTACCATAATTTCTCCATTGTTTCGTCCATAACCATTGTCCTTCCAACTTGTCGCCGCCGTCGCAGAGATATGACAAAAAGCGCACGCAGCTGCGAGTAGTAACTGTGGGGAAATAGAGACAAGATAAAAATAATAAATATGATGAATGACGACTACAGAACTTTTAACAACAATAAAGAAAAAAAAACAATAATGAAAATAAAAATAATAAAACTTGAAGACCATTTAAAATTTTAAAATATTTCATTTTACACATAATAAATAAGCAACAAATTAAATTGAAATTTAAGGACTTTTAGTAAAAAAAGAGCAAATAACCCACAAGTACATTAACTTTGTTGCCTCTACTAACAATGCATCGTCATAAATTATTGCTTGTAAATGAATAGAAACTGAATTTTGTATTATTTTTTAATTTGATTTGTGGACAATTTACTATTCCATACAAGCAAATGCAAAAAATCCTTAAACTAACTTTTGTATATATGGAAAATGGAAAAGCAAAACTTTAAGCATGTTTGCGAAATCCCAGTGTACGAGTGGAGGATTTGTGGCGATCACGTTTTTGGATGCATGAATGTTAATGAACATGTCTTAGAGGCCAACAAAAAAGTTGAAAGTTAGCTGAACGCGTGTGAAATGACATTGAATTCATAATCCTGCATATGCAGAAAAAAGCACAGAAATAAAATTAGAAAAAGAAACCACAATTTAATTCTGCGACGAAAAAACGCTCATAAAACACATATCCTTAGGCATCGGAAAATAAAAGTTTTCCTTTAGTTTGCAGACGCAGTTACTCATAGAAGTTGAAGCGTTCACTTTAGTTTGTTGTGGTTACTTGGAATTGGTTTTGTTGACTTTTCAGCTTGTGTGTCACCAAAAGTTTAGCCAAGGGAATTGAACTTTTATATTGAATTTCTTCTTAAAGAAAGCACAAAAGAAATATTCCATATATTTTGTAATAAATTTCACGATAAGATTATTAATTTAATATATTAAAAGAACATTTTAATATTGCTATATTGATTTATATATACTATATTAAATTTACTATATGATATTAATATTTGACACAGCAAGTGAATTTGTTAATAAAAATGTGCGAATATAAAAGCCAAATACGGCTTTGAGTCAGTTTGTTAAGGTGCGCGGACTCTGAGTTTCAAAATTGGCAGGGCACGACTTCGATTTCTGGTACTTGCAATCTCAAAAAACAAAATTTTTTACGAATAATTAAATACAAGAATTATTTCCAAAACCACTGATGATGGGTAAAATATTTGGCAATACTCGAAACAAAAATTCAATTAATTAAAATAATATAAAAAATAATTTTTGTTGTTTACTACTTTTTGAAAACCTCTTTATGTAAATTTTTAATTTAATTAGAGATTTCGTAGAGAGCTCTCTTTCGACAGACAAAATTTGTGCTCTATAGATCGTTTATACTTTCTGTTTTGTTATATTATATATTAAAGAAAATTTCGGATCCTAATAGAAGATACGAAATTTCAAATATATGTAGAATTGTACGAAGTTTGGAAACCAAACTGGTTGCTGGCGACTATACTTGTGAAACTGTTAAGGACTTCAACTAACTTTGCACTGCTGCACAGTGTGGCAAAACAGAAATTAGCCGTTCAAAATTCGATATTTTCTAAACTAATAAAGATATTGAAACAAAATAATCCTAAAACTTTGTTTTTGAGATGACCTTTCTTTTGAATATCATTTGTGTCAGTATATCACACTGCTATTGAAGCGGCGAACCTATATTGATCAGTACAGCCAAAGCGGTGGGCCCTAACCCTTCTGGTACTAGATTGTACCGTTGGTCTCGTGCAGTAAGAGAAACTTACTTATAATATTTATACTCAAAATAGTATCTGGAAGTACCTACTGGGTTTTAGTTACCTTTTATGACAGATATGTCTTAATTCGGGAGTAGTGCAACCCATGCTCCAAAGAGGGAATTAGAAGGATCAATGGTACACTATCATATATAGTATTTGTTGCGCTATTCTTATAGAATTATCTAAAGTAACTTGTACATTATAAGACTTTTGAGAAGTTTAACAATTTGTCTTGATGCTACATCTCAGAACACATTCGTTTCAATGAAATTGTGTATAATTCGTTTCCTTCCAATGTTCAATAGTTCAATGGGTTGAAAATATTTCAAAAAAAAGTGTTTTGAATTGGTTTTATATAGAAACTCTACATATACGTCTATATATAGACTCAATATAGGCTTCTTATTTGACTAGGCAGTCAGCCTTTTAGTTGTCTTCATGTCATTCATGCTCCGGAACTTGCATCAAAGTGATCATTACGTTTTCCTTGTATAATGAGAAAAAAGTATGTGCACTTAGACAAATAAGTTTTAACCACATACTAGTTAAGTTGACGTAAAGAGGATATGAAAACCAACATATGGTATGGTTAAACCAATATGATGTGTCGAGTAAGAATATTTTGACCTGAGATTTAATTAAAATCTGGTTAAATTAACTAAATTATTTTTCTTGATGTGTATATAGATAATGCTATATGTTGACTTTAACTCTGGCTTATAATTTAAGTAAAATTCTTTAAATTTTTAGAAAAAGCTTATTTTATTTTATCAATAACAAGTTTAAATTTATATTTTTTAGTCAAAAAACTATTGTTCCCAATAGGAAAACTTTATTCTAATTTAATTAATTTAAATATTTTATTTTGACGCCTATTTTGTAGAACATAATTAGCAGAAATCAGTGAGTTTTAATTAACAGTGGCAACACGAACTTCTTAAATGATAAAAAATTCATTAAAATTTTTAAATAATTGATAAAAATAAAAAATGTGTCTAAAATAAATATCTCTCATTAATAAATATTAAGTGCCCTCTACGTGGTAGGCACCTTGTCGTGGTGTAGGGGCTTAGATACAACTTGAGCTATTCTGATCAATATTTCAGTCA